CCCTCACCCTTGGCCACCAACTCCTTCACAGTGAAGAGGAAAGGGACGTACTCACCATCTGGAAGCTTCACCGTGGTAGCTGCGAAGTCCATGCCATCCTGCTCCTTGAAGGTGATTGGGTTGGGATCCAAAGTGCCCTCGACGAAAGCCAGTGTGTAGGTCTGACGTGTGGTCAGCTTGGTTGTGGCAAACTCTTTGCCGTTGTCAGTGTCGATCTCAACAGCAAAAGACTTGGGCTCGAAGCACACGTTGATCAGCTTGGAGCCAGCTTTCACAGGCACCTCAGAGCCGTTGGATTCCACAGTGGGGCAGCGGTTGGCCAAGCCAGAGCCCCTCACCTGATTGTAAGTTAGCTGGCTGAACTGCTCAGCAGTGATGGCCTTTGCAGGCTGGGCTGCCACAAGACCGAAAATCACACCCAAAGCAGCACCGAAGCTCAAGAGAGGCGGAGCCCAGGAGTAGGTGCTCTCGCTGTTCTCAGTCTGCAGTGGTGCTGCCAAGGAGTCCGCATGGTTTGGAGTTGTTGGCGCACGCGGCGGCTGGGTGGGCACCCCACCAAGGAAGCAGCTTCCGAAGGCAGCTGCCGCGAAAAGTACACCCACCACTGCACCACGAGCCATGGTGTGGCCGTTTGGCAAAAACTCAAAGCAGAAAAAACTTGAGCAAAATACCAGTTGTGCCAAATAGCGCTGTTCGGGCAATATTGATTGCAACAAAAATCGCAGTTTTCAAGACACATCGATGTGGTTCGGACTTGCTCTCAAAAGAAATCGGCCTGTGACAGCTACAGCTACAGAACCAAACAGGTTTAGATTCCAAACATCTGGGCTCTTGAGCTGTGCACTGCATTTTCTGCACAAGGGACATCTTGGTGGCTTGGTTTTGGGTGTCTGATGCTCACGCATTGACAACCTTGCCATAGAAAATGCCCTTGAGCAAAATGGTCCTGTCAAGAATCAACGGCAAACAAATTCCACGAACTTCCCTCCCTCGTATTCTCTCAACTGCTTTGCTTTCTGCATCCTGCGAGGAACAATCTCTCTCTCTCTCTCTCCCCCGTCGGTCTTGGGTTCTTTGGCGCCCATGTCAGTGTCGGAGGGCTGCTTGGAGACAAAGACACCACCGATCTCGCCCAGTTCCTGGTTCACCTGGAAGAACCACGTTTCAAGTCTCGCTGCACTTGACATCACTTCACACATGCAAATCAACT